CAGGTGCATGTTGAACGTAAATGGTGTGGCGTGGCGCGCCGTAGTATAGGGGTTGGCGTAACCCGTGAGTTTGCATTTGTCGATGGATGCGACGCATTTGCTTGTTGATGCGATAGAAATTACGGGACAAGTTTGTGCATGTAATTGCAGTAGTCGATTTCCAGTTGCTCCGACAACATGCCCAGTCTGTCCGACTTCCGGTCCAGTCTGTCCGACTTCTACAACAATCAGCAGTACGTGTCCGACTACGGTCACGTGCCAGCCGTGTCAAACATGCCCCACAACTACGGCTACCACTTGCCCAACCTCCACAACAACGGCAGCCACAAGTAAGCTTTAAAGAAATTCAAGTAGGTGTTGATATGACAACATAAAGGGCGAAAATACTGCAATGAACGCAGATACTTTGAACTCACCGTTACAAAATTTTACGTATATGTAGTCGTATACCGCCGCTTGTCACATGGCCACTTGTCACACTGTCAAGTAAGACAATCTGGCTGCGACAGTGTCACCGTACCGGTCCGTACGAAACTAGCAGCTATCCACGGCAAAATTCAGCCACAGTGCACGTTATTATTATTATTATTATTATTACGGCACAAGAGCAGACAACCCCGAAGGGACTTCAAGTCTGGTCGAACAAAAACAATTTTCCGCTAACAAAAACGTTTAGGAGAGTTTAACAGATCTGAGTAGAAATTTGAAAGAAGGTACAGAACTGGCTTCGAGAATTTTAGGATTAACAGCAAGAAGTTTATCAAGAAGACACTTTAGCCGCATTTCCATAGTCCACCCTCCGATAACTTTCTTTGCCCGCGTAACATCGATCCGGGCCGGCTTCCGCAAATTGTAGCGCGAGGTGTTATCTTTTACTTGGATCATGTCCAGGAGGTAAGCCGGAAGCGGGAACCGATCTTCGTTCCAGAACTTGAACAACCACACCGCATCGCTCTGCCGCCATCGGTCGAATATGTGAGGAATACCCAACTTCTGATACAGTTCCGGAGTAACCGGCATCTTGTAATCAGTGATGGTTTTCAGAGCTTTACGTTGTAGTCGGGCTAGCTTGTCGCGCTCAGTCGAAGACGCTGCAGACCATACCGGCGACTGGTGTGCGATATGGCAGCCGAAGCAGGCGTGATAAAGACCTTTGCGCTGTGACATGCTGAGCCCTTGTTGTGCCCGTTTAATCATGGCAATGCCAAAATTCCCTTTCCGCTGTACCTTTCTGAACTGCTCATTCCACTTGAGGTGATTATCGATTTCGACACCAAGATATCGTACACATTTCCCTATGCCAATTACCGACCCATGAGGATGTCAACTGCACAGCGCGGCGTTGGCTCGTTATTCGTTAACGTAATGGTCACTAGTGTAACACATAGATACATGACCCAGTATGCGGTAGTCGTACCACGGCACCGCAACACACACGCAGTTGGTAGAGGGGGAAGACCAATCTGGACTCCGTGGGTTGTATACACGAACTACCTCCTACTAGGTACAAGCGGATTGCCGTGCCTAACGAAAATTACCGAAACCCAAGCACGTAAAGTTAGAAGACGCATCAGTTACCGGTCGTGCGTCATCAGACGCACGTACGTTGTGGCGGTTGTGCATATTTAACGTTAATACATTATACAGGGATACATAAACAGATTTGAAACTTGCATGTACAGTATCTCTCAAGTGATGCAAACTGGAAGCAGTACAATCCGCTTGACAAAATTTGTTGGCTGCTCGAACAATACTGGCTACTGATTGTTGCAGCGACCACAACTACCCCGACCACAACGACAACGACCGCTACCCCGGCGCAGGATACACGCTGCGCCACTACAGGACGAGGCTACAATGCCGGTACAGGAGCGGCCACGGCCACGGGTCAGTAAAGAACCAGCTGTATATTGCAGAATCTAACCCATATTTTCACCAAACGGTCGTCTGGTGGTATTGCGGATCACGACGTGCCAACACCGACATGGATCAGCGACGTTGTGTAACAGTTTTAACTAGCGTTGCAACGATTACACGTTAAAAACTGCTACTGAAAAAACTGAAATGCATCTAAGTATTGCAGCGTCGTGCGGAGGCTGCATATTTCCGACGGCTACCACTCCACAAACCATCATGTTTACGCTTAATTCACTCGAAACCACCGACTGTCTCTTCAGTATTGTTGGTCCGCCGGGGAGCAGTTTAACGGTGAGAAGGATATTTTACATTTGCCGATACGTTGCTTGTTTCCTGGTACCTCCATTAGTATTGTTATTCGGCTTGCAATGTTACAGGTGACCAGCAACGGTTTCAGCTCACCAGTGCGTACATGACAATGTTACAGACATGGGGGTTTCGTGCAAACGCAACCACCCGGCTTGAACTGGTATCCAAGAATACATGTGGTCCTTTCGTAATTTAGGCCTGCACTGTAGGCTACTTGATCATGAATGGGGTTCTTTACTGTTCGCCCTCCAATCCGCCGTTCCCGGCCTCTCTGCCCATTGCAGCCAGCATCACCGTAAGGATTTATGCATGAACGAAATCTTTCGCATCGTTCTGTTTGCGAACGTATTTATTGCCTTGTAGACGGTTTATTATCATCGTTCGCCGACACTCACTGCGCCTGGAACTCTGACATTTTCGGTTACCCCGGTCGGATGATCGTCGATGTCATTTGCTCCACGCTATCTGTAATGTCGTACTGAATGACCTTTATATTTGTTTTGTTGTATTTCTGCCCTAGCAACAGGGATTTGTGGTACTTATATTATCTCACTATTTTTATGTCATTCCACATCCGGGCTTGTTACTGTTCATGTCTTATTAAAACACACGTACTTTAAGACGTGACACTACCCCAAAAATTCACCATTCAAATTTGTTAAAATTAATTTAGCAGTCACTTTTCACATTATTTTCAGACTGGAAAAAGCCAATTTTTTCACTTAATAATTAATTAAATACTTCTTTATTTCAAACCAACATAATACGGGTTTTAACTTTTGAATAGAAAATATTAAATTGCATTAACAACAGCTCATTAAATATTAGCTTTTTTTGCGCCTAATTAATTTGATAATTAATGCCTTTTTGCGCTTATACAGTATAATCAAAAGCTACTTATGCATTATGATGTTAAATAAGAAAATCTTGACCACGCCCATGGGGATGTACGAGTGCTTTAATGCACCGAATAGCGTTGCAAATAGCTGGATTGAGAAAACCGCTTATTTTACACATCGCGCGTTCCTTTTGACGAGCCGAAATTCTTTATCAACCACAATGCCAGCGGATTGGACAATCCTTTTGCGACTGGACAATTTTTAGCTAAAATATTTATTGCGCTTATTACTATGGTTGTTATTTGAAATTCAGGATTGTTCTAATTTCTTTTTAAAAAAAATCAATCACTGTAAGCCTACTGCAACATTTGATGTTTTTTTAGTATGCACTTTTCATTGTTAAAGTGCTCATTTTTAATCCTTGGCCTGGATAGATTCGCCAGAGACGGCGAATTTTAAAGAGGAGGATTGTGACGGAGTCACGTCATGCGTCATACCGTCATGGTCAGTCAGCGGTCGATTACATCATATGACATTATCCTTACGTCACTTCCTGTCATACCGCCGTCATCATGCACGGTCACCACGGAAGCTCCACCCACTCCTAGCCGGCCATCCTCATACATAAGGAGACCTTCCGACTGCCAGCCAGTCAGTCCGTTCACCAGCAGCAGCCTAGCTGCTTAGTTATACAGTAGTTGTAGTGGGCAAGCGTTTACGCAATAAAGGTCATGGTCACACAGGTGTTGCCTAGTTGTTCACCATAGGTACACGTAGGTAGAGGTCATCGCTGATCTTCTCACATAGGGCTCATAGGGTGCACTACGGGAGGACTCGGTCTTGCGACAGTACTCAGCATGCCCAATGCTGCTGCTGTATTGCCTCTCACTACTGCTAATTACTGTCTGATAAGCGCCGTTTATGGAGTCTCCCCGGTAGTTTGGCGAATCGTCCGGCCGATGAAACGAATCACTTCAGCATTCCTTAGCGAATTATGAACGAATCATAAACAAGCTGAAACGATTCATTCCCGAGCGTCTCGACTGTCAGTGAATACAATAGATATACTTTTGATCTTACATTATCGATGTTATTACTTGAAATTGCACTTCTTGCTTGCCCGGCAAAACTCTTGCGGCGAAACACGGCTTTTTTTGAATGTTAACGCGTGTACGACGCTCTCTGTTGGTTGTTATATTATGTACGAGGGTTCGTAATAATCTTGCACAGTCGGAACTCGCTAGTCCCGGCCATTGTACCGGAAATTTGACAATAACATACTCGTACAGCATGTGCAGACTACAGAGTATTCCGTGATCACTGAGCAGGTTGCTTTATAAAACTGTGGTTAGTACATATTTAAAAAAATATTACTGTGTGATATATATCTACGCCACAATGCGCATCGGAAAACCTGGCAATGACCTGCTGACAACTGGCTTAACATACATTAATACCGGCCAATTAATGCTCGAAGCAGAATCAGCGAATCTAGAAATGCTAAAAACATGCAGCGAGCGGCGCAGTGAAAAATATCGAACAATTGAGCAAAAAAAACATTGCTCTCTAATCTCTTTAGGCCGCAATACACATCGGAAAAACTGCCTATGACCTGCTGACAGCTGGCGTAAAATTAATACCGGCGTATCAATGCCCGAAGCAGATCAGCGGATCTAAAAATGCTAGAAACATTGCACATGCAGGGAGCAGCGCATCTAAAAATATCGAACAATTGTGCAAGTTTCAGACTCGCTTGTCTAGCAAATTCTCTCACACGGACACCGTACATGCTTCATTTTTCACCTTATTTTATTAACGAAAACCGGAACGCAGCTTTACAGGATGCATTTGCGCAGGCAGAAATCTCTGTTGCCATACACCTTAAATCTGTATTTTATCCTACAAATTTTCTTAGGTTTTGTATTAATACATAAGATGTCTTGCCAGACTCTGGATCTTCCCCTAGGACGGTTTATTTGGCTTAATCAAGCGACCATCCCGTCTCCAGTTTCCACCCCAACCAGTGCTCCTGCAAGCCAGGTAGAGAACCCCGCCCTGACCAGGAAACTGGTCGACAACGGCAGCCCCTCCGACGTGGCGTTCGAGGCGGCGTGTGCCGGAATGACCAGCAAGGCAGCCCTGCGTTGCCCGTGCAGCGGCGTTGGCCAACGCTGTGCCGACCCGGTTTCGGTCTGCAGTGCCACCAAGAAATGCATTTGCGACAGTGCCCTCGGCTTTTCCGATTCTACTGGAACCAAGTGTGTCCGTTACACGACTTGTAAGTATACTGACTGTATACATAAAGTCCATTTCACGACTGTAATCTCATTCGCGTTTCGTATCATAAAGGAATGTCGTTTGGAGTGAAAGGAGCTATTTTTAGTTCGTCTCTACAGTATTATACTCGTAATTATTGATTTACTGGCCCTCCCTTTAATTTAGAGTGAGAATATTGTACAGATAGTCCGTTTGGCTGCTAAATTTGCTCTTATGACACAACTGCACTGAAAACTAAAAAATCTGTAGGAATTCACCTTAACTTCACGTGCATCACAGTGGCTTGATGCATGCCGGTTTAATCAGCAAGAGAGTAACGACAAGTGGTATCTGGTAAAAGAAGTTATTCACGTATTCGTATACGGAAAACGGACAGTTTTGTGCAGCAGTGAGCAGCTCACTGTGAGATAGGAAATCATGTGTGAAGTTCCAGTGGGAAATCGGAAGTTGATCGAACCCACCGAACATGTGCTAATGGTAGAAATGCGCAAACCCTGCACAATCCTTGTCACCCAGCGGCTTCCAAATAGTTTTCAAGTCAGAATAGCCTATTTCGTAAAGTACATTTTCCGGCTTCCCTTGAAATTCAAATATGATTTCTTTCTCCCGGCTAGTCGAAAATGCACTCCGCCAGTCGGCCAGATTATCGAAGTCGAATTCCAGGTTATCGAGATAGTTTATTTTGATAAGTCACAACGCACTTTGACTTTTTTGATAAACCTTCATGCTTCCCCACCTTACAAAAAATTAAAAAATCTTTATTGTCAAAATTGTAATATTTGACAACATGATAATTCAGATGTTGTCCGGCAGAGTCGTTCTAGGTCACCTACGAATAATTCTCTTGTGGTTGGTTGCCATTTTCGACCGTCATTAGAGTGATTAGACCGCGTGGTGTTTATGCACTTCCACCATTGGCCACTGTTGAGCAAGTTCGATCGGCTTCCAGCTCCACAAGTGCTTCGCCGACTCGGTAGTACAGTAACCGATTGCTTGCAGTAGCTCCAGTGACATATCCTCCTTGTCCATCAGTTACCTGTCCAGCTTGCACATGCCCCGCCACAATTGGTCCCACGACTGCAAGCACAGCCTGCCCGACGATCACATGTCCGACCGCCACAACAACAGCCTGTCCGACGTTGTCTACCACACCCACCACGACGAGTAAGACATCGAACGGCTTCCACAATTAATGATATGTATTTTGGTTGTTTTTTAATGCTTATTTTTTTCAACTTTTAAGTAGGACAGGAGCGCTTGCGGTTATTCGAAATTAAGTACTGTACGTAGCACCGTAGTACCTTTGGGTACTGTAGTGTTGCTTCGCATGAAGCTTTCTGTATGAAACCGGCTGTAATTTTTCAATAATTAATTCTGCTTTCTAACGCAATGACTCCTGACATAGGATTGTATTTTCAGAAAAGTTGAGTTTTGCCGCATTCAGTTACACCTAAAAAAAAACCTCTGATGTGTCGTTATAGCGACTACTACGACCCCTACTACGACGACGACAGCTGCAACAGTTCAGGATCAAAGATGCGAAACTAATGGAATATACCAAAACGGATTTATTTCTCCGCAAGAGCTAGCTGGAATGGGTAAGTGTTTTACATACCCCTGTCTCCTTACTGTTCACTTCTGTAGTACGTAGTGCGCATCTTCGCCTCAGTTTTTAGTAACTTACACAAAAACTTGTAAAAACTAATCATACCGTGGATGTGTGTCGACGGAAAAAAGACCGGCAACACCCATTTGTCGATCCGACCGTCATTCGACTTGATTTCGTCGACCATCACTACACCGAGCAGGTCGCCCCGGCAGGAAGTCAAGCAAGCGTTTTGATAGGCCGTCTTATCTGTAGTTGTCTTAGGTTTCTTAGATTTCTAAGTTTCTTAGGATTCTAAGGATTTTTTAGTTTTCGTGATTTTCTTAGCCGTCGCCCTTGTAAGGTCGACATTATGCGGTCAACGTTGTGCGGTCAACCATGGGACGGTCGGCTTTGCGTTGGCCGATATGATGCGGGTGAGGCGCCGCATTGGCCGCAATAAAGTAACCGTCTACAGGCTTCTGACAATTCGGGCAGTTGTGCGGCTCGCAAATCTTGACGGCGACGCTAAGCTAGCCTTGCGGAGATTTTCAGTGTGTCGTTGTCGAGAATGTTACCAATGTGAACAGAATCGTTCAACAGATGGTAACGCGCTGAGCTAGATACGAGCTTCTGATCTTGATTGAACCAGGAGACGCGCAATACTAGATGTCGCCCCGGAAGACTTCCCACAAGAAAGACGGAGGCACACTGCATAAGGGAAAATCACATCCTTTTTGTGAATTGCGGAACGCCGTTACGGCCCTACGGGCAGTTGAGTTTGGCGGGCATTAATTTTGTCTTCCACAAGTCCAAAGCTCAAACCACAGTATATATACGGCCGCCAGTTTTAACTAGCAAGCACACTAGTGTAGGGCGGAGTAAATCGAAGCCAGAATGGCTGGAAGTGTCAGTTAACCCGATGTCGCCTGTGCTAACCGGGAGACATACTGACCGCCAGCTGGGATACTAGTACAGGAAAGGGTAATGGGTGTCGTATCATGTGTGCGAAACTGTCGCATTATCGCATGCGTCTGGGGCTAAAAGCAGAAAGCCGGAGCGGAGAAAAGTGTGTCCGGAAGCGTGTCAGAATTTCCAGGGTGTAACAACATGACATTGTGTTTGGCATTGCGGAATGCATAGTTCAACAAAACCGTCTGCCTGCCACAACACCATTTTAAGACGCGTATGGTTGTCAGGTTACATGCGTGTACAGTGTATTGATATTTCCGAATCATTTCGACTACACGCGTGGGACCCGCGCTGAAATTCGGATTAACAGGAAAATTCATCGAACTGTGCATTATAGGCCGAAGCGCAACTGTTATTAGGGTTGAAAATTCCTGTTTTTTTATGTTTCTTTACGTTTCCTTACGTTTTTTAGGTTTTTCAAATGTTTTTATTTTACGTTTTCTTATGCTTGGTAAACATAAAAATACACTAGGGAAGTGCACCGCTTTTGGCTAGCACTATTAGACCGAAGCGAAGCCGGAAACTGAACTTTGTACAAAAATATTTACCCTAGGTTATCGTTATGTTGATTAGGCATTTATTTCGTAATAAAAGTCAGGAAAGGGCTATTCCCACCACCTTGACACCATGTTTGACTAACATCACCACCTTTCACCCCGTTTTGGCTATTCGCTCCACCTTTTTTAATATTTTTCACACCACCTTTAGCTATTCTCATCACCTTGCGGCTGTACTGCATTCGGCAATTGCCATCTGTTTTCGCTCCATGTTTTCACGCATGAAAAGCCAGCATGAATAAGCATGAATACATAAGAAAGCAGCGGAAAAAATAAGATTAAAGCATGAGAATGAAACATAAGAAACATAAAAAAGCATCAGAAAATATAAAAAAACGTTAAAAAAATAAATGACCCTGCATCGCCCCGTTCACATCAAGATCCCGCGACACGGCGGCATTTTCAGATTACATAATATTGAGTTAACTGGTAAGATTAGAACTGAACGCAAGGGAACGAATGCAGCGGAATAAAATATGTTCAGTATCACTATAAATGTTCATTCCAGCTTGTGGAGGATGCATTTTTCCGGATTCGACCGGAAAGCCTTTATCATATCCAACCAATCCACAGTACGGCGCCAATTGCCTTTGGAGCATCGTTGTGCCTCCTGGAAAAAACATCCGGGTTAGAAATAATACAAAAACCTACAGATACTTTGATTCTTTCGCCCTGATTTCAAGGTTCACGAGTGCTAAAAACCAAGTATTTCTGTTTAGGTAGTACCGGGCACCTTTAATTTAATGGTAAGTGTCTAAATTTAACCGTCTGCGCTGCTGCAACGTCAAACCCCAGCCGGATCAACGACAGCAAGTATAGGGATTCCTTGCCCAAGCCATTGACAGCCCCTTTTATGATGTATGGTCCCCCCTTTTATTATAATGGTCCATGCTGTGGATCGTAGTGTGGTGCTAACGTGTCGAGCGTGCTTACGACAGCAGGTCAGCTGGACCGCAAAGTATGGCAGATGCTCGTAGACAGTCACCAAACAGATTGGTCGGCGCGACAAAAACTTGCGCTGAGTATTCAACGAAGTGCAGTCTGTACAGACGGTTGGTGTTGCGATGGTGACTTGCGTACGGACGCATCCTTCGTCCCGTACCTATGCTTGGAGCTCTGACATCATCTGGACATCAGAACGAGTTCCTGTGAGTACCGCACTGGCTCCATTGACCTATTGGAACAACAGAATTCAATAGGGTCGGGTGCTTTCTTTGTCTAGTGACTCCGGACAGGTGGTTAAAGCATCCGTACGATAGAAATCTGTCCAGTGTGTTAACGGGTCCAGTTTTGAGGAGACGATCGTGACGAGGGTTGAGAAACTTTATGTTAAAAAGCACTTGCCGTGTAATACGGTGACCTCGCTTCCTCCATGACCTTTATAGCCTTCGTTCTTCCTTCCCGGTTAATGCCTGGTGATATTTAGCGTAACGGATAGGTAAGTGTATACGTGTATATATTCCTAGTGTATTTCTTGTTTTTGCAGCAGGGATTGCTGGTTCCGTACTCGTAGTTAGGTTTAGGCCATCAGATTTCCATTAACTGTATTCCTTATCAGTTGAGATAGAGAGTGCTCTTATAGATCGTGTAGTGATCGGTACGTGGATGTAGCAACATATTCTATTGTGCAAGGTTTCTCGTTCACGACAACTGGGAACACGACTAAAATCGTTATTCATGATCTTATAATGCGTATCCAGTTTTCCCAGGAGCGCCTTCGCATTTCCTCGGACTACCGGTGGTCTAAAGCCCTGTCTCATGAAGGCCGCAGGTCAGTGTTCCCAAGTGACTTCACGAATCTTCCGGAAAACGAAACGGATCAGCCCAGCAAAGGCCGTTCCGAAATTCCCAAGCGCTTCAACTGCCAGAGGGTGGAGCTGGTATCCCAAATACTCGATAAAAGCCTACTTTCGGCGTTTCCTAACTTTGCCAACTGAGCTACACCTCTGGATTTCATTGAGCCGGCGTATATGTGAGACTCGGCCACAGTATCCCAACATGTTTCATCCAGACTACTGCCCTGCCATCGCGCAGAGGAATTAATATCATACCATCCGGTTTTCCTGTCGTTTTCTAATAGTCAATGAGAAACTCTCATTTTTCAATAACAAACTGTTCCGCAGTAGCTGGCCCTTACTGCACTGGCATTCTGTTAATCAATATCCACACGGCAGTTATGGTAAATCTTAAGTAATTTTGGCATGCACCAGCCGCGGCAAATGGATGCAACGCTTTAACAGTGTTGCGTGAAGCGTCGAGGTGTAAAGACTGGCGTAACCCACAAACTTTGAATTTACATATCTTCAATTTGCAATCGGCTTATACTGACTACTAATGCATTAGTATTCCATATAAGACGTACATATGTACGTGCTTTATAAAGTGATTTTCTTGTATGGAAAATATTTCTTTACGTGCAATGTCAGATCATAAGAACGAATTCGAAGTCCGCCCCTGGATCTATTTATGGGGCGCTTGCACGAATGGAATAGAAAGATCATGAAGCCACAATGTTTCAGGCGGGATTTGATGCCGTCATTCTCAACGGAGTGTTGTACAACGTCGGCAGCCCCTTTCCTGCCGGAGGTGTCAATGTAATGGCTAGTGTCACGGTAAGAAACGTAGCAGCCAATGTATATGGAAGTTACTGCTGGCCTAAACGCTGCTTAGACTGCATTCGATGAATCTGGAGCAGAAGCTCTGCGGTAGGAGATACTAAGTGTGCAGTGTGCTGCATGTTTTGATATAGGTAACACGTTTAATACTTGTGACTGCAGATTCGTAGGCTTCAGATGTTTATAACATTTCATACTATTTTCGGTATTTCCAATGTTATTTATTAACACTTCGGTTTTGCAGGCAATATATTTCCGTGCCAATATAGCCACCTCATCCACTGCCTCCTTCACGGTTTATTCTTTCTAGCAAGATTACTTGCAGTTCTCAGTTTCGTTGAGTTTGTGGTTTTCTTTTGCTTCAGCAGGTTGCTGCGGCGGTATCGGTGTACTTGGTACATAATGATTGTCATGTATACGTACCAAGTACACCGGTACATTACTTGGTATTTAATGTATTCTGCACATCCAAGGTTCTAAACCTTAACAGTTAGAAAGAGCGTGTTATTATGCTGTTTGGCTCCCAGACTGATTCGTATTAAAATTTTCAGACTGTCACAGGACCAAAACTACAAATTAAATAAACTTAAAAAAAAACAAAACAAAAAAATCTGGTACGCCACCGTCTTACATATTTATTTTCTTTAGGTAAAACCGTGAGGTTTTCACTGTACAAATTTTTTTTTTATTTTTACCTATCCTACACTATGCAGTCAAAGTTGCGCTCGCTCAGTTTCCATTCAGAATTTTCTGTGCGGTGTTCGTTCGTTCGTCTGCGGTGTTGGTCCTCCTCAAACCCGAAATACGTCCTCAAAACAGCATAGCCGTTGTAGGCAACGTAACCGTTGTGTGCTGTCTGATAGGCTGATAGCCACTTTGTGCCCGTTTTAATATCAACGGCGGGTCCGCTCCAACTCAGCGCTTCTTTGTACCCATGGACTTCGTAAGGATATTAGCAATTTCAGTTTACGAACCAAAGTTTTTTTTCTTACGCAAACGGATTGCAGAATCAGAAGAGATAGCGCTGATTCCGAATCTGAAGTCGGAAAAATGTTTGGACCACCACCGAGGGCGGTCAGGCAAAAATTCGGTTATTCGAATTTCAGTGCGTTGTTTATGGGCACACCGAAATTTCGATCGAAACCCCTCGGGGACGGTCTAAATTGGTTTTCTGACTTCAGATTCGGAATCAGCGCTATCGATTCTCTTAGAAACAGTGTTCAAAATGCCAAAAATAATTTTTTTAGTTATGACTCCATTGCTACCACCCATGGTAATTGTAGGGCGCTAGGGGACCGGCAGTCAGAATTTCGCTTTGACCTTTTCCGGTTTTGAAAAGTCACTTCTAGATCAGAAAAATTCGCTGATTTGGATTCTGCAATCCGTTTGCGTAAGAAATAAAAACTTTGGCCCGTAAACTGAAATTGCTAATATCCTTACGAAGTCCATGTTTGTACCACCTGCAAACAAAAACCGCCGTGCACTTTCGTTCATTTAAAACCAATCGAATTTCAGTTAATATAATTCATTGCTGCTGTGGTAATCAGCGCTGCGATCAGCTCTACCACAGAAATGCATTCATATTCCGCTCAACTGTTGATGTCGGCTCGCGCTTCGCAGTACTACTATAAGTTCCATTTTTTTTAAACATAAAATTTGTTTATTGCCAAATTGTACAAGCTAAACGCCATTTACAGATGAACTTAAAACCCCAATTTAGAACAAGTAGAATATTTCTTCTAGCTCTCTAGAACAAGCAACCCTTCCCAGAACAGAAGCAGCGTTCCCACGCTGAATTTCCACACTTATACGTTGCCACAAAAATTCGGTAGCGCGCGTTTCTCCTGTATGCTCTTTGATGCGCCGGCCAACTTCACTGATGAACTGTCTGGTACTGCCGCCACAACTTCCCATAGTTTCGAGAGCGACTGGTTCGAAAAAGTATCGATCAGTGAGTTCTGAGTATAGACCTCTCTTTCGTGTTTCCGCGTCATCTGCTGCAGATCCTGCTGATTCTGATGAACCGGCTACGTACGAAGTAGCGAACGTGTCACATACCGTCACATCCCAGATCAGAGGGAGACCATTTTTCCAGGGAAAGAGAGATAAGCCATCTGGCCGTTTCCCATCCAATCTGCTCAGTCCAGCCGGTTCCAAGATTGTCGGCACTTTTGTTGACCCCAAACTACGTTGGATCACACTATTCAGACTGGCATGCCGCCTGTGTCTTCCCTGGCTTCTTGAGCACGACAAACCATGTAAACCGCAGGCATCAACAGTGTCCCTGCAACGACATTTATGCTCCTTACAGATTGGCGTCCCCATCCGCAAAGCAACAGCGAGTCAGCATATCCGACCACAAGCGTTGGTTGCTCCGATCTTCCAGCGCAGGTGCACACTTTCCTGTACATTCTTCCCAATAAAACTCGACGTCAGACCGATCGTTGGGGCAATCTTCGGACACTATTGTGCGTCCGTAGAATAGAGGGAGGAGAGATAGGCCGGCATTGCGATTTCTTAGGCTCTGGGCAGTCCTAAGCCTCCCGATTTGACCGGTAGAGAAGCTTGCACGTAAGCGCAGTCGTCCATCTTGACATTCGTAATCTCTTCAGCTTTTGACTTTATAGCGTGGTCGAACTCCTTGAGCTTCTCAGGATATTTATTGCAAGGGGCCGCTCTTAGTGTATACATAAGCCGCGGTAGCGACAGGCTATTTCTCAGAAGAAATAACGCCTGCTGTGCCGGCAAGACGCTCAGTGAGTCGGTCAGCTTTCTGATTTGATCAATCTTGCCGTCCAAGCAGCGGCCGATTGACCAGTCCGTAAGAGGAACTCCAAGCAGTTCCAGCGTCTCTGGGGTAATCCTTTGAATTCCAGGTACGACTGCGGCTAATCGGTCGTAGATGGCTTGTTGCTCCGCTTTAGATCCACCATAAACGTACAACTCACACTTAGCGAAGTTAAGGTCCAAACCAAGTTTTGGCGCGTCATTACAAACTCCTATAAAATCCTCCAAAACCACTTCTGGATTTCCACCTGCAGTCCCGTCGTCCAGATACCAGGCGTTGAGATCGCACTGCACCCTCTTTGACAGCTTGATGGAGGCGAGGCAAAACAGCACCGGTCCAAGAGGATCACCCTGCTGTACTCCGTGGACAGACGGCATCGTCGTATTGCCGCAAAATAATGTAGAAGAATTTCTGTAGCACTGAGAAATAAAGTAAAAATACTGCGGTAATTTATCAGCCGCTTCTTCCAAAACGATATCGCGGCGAATAGTGTTGAACGCATTTCGAAAATCAAGCTTCAACAAAACGGTGGGGCTGGCTGGGTGAGCTCGTAAAAACTTTCGGGTTGCATGCACCGCTGCTTCTGCTCCGCCCGGCGTTCCATAGCCCAACTGAACAGGGCGAAGTATACCGCCCATTTCTGACTGCACGAGTCTTCTAATAAGCTTTCCGCAAAGACGTCTGATGGTGCACCCAACCGCTATAGGCCGTATTCCCCCCGTTTTCTTTTTTAATGGGATCAGCGTGGCTTTAAATAGAACCGAGCGAATGCTGTCGGGGATGGGTTTGACGAAGATGTGATTCACTACCTTGGTAAGCGCTGTCAGCATTAGCTCACCACATTCTCCAGACACTTTAATAAGTTCCTTCAAGTGTTGCGCCCGTAGGCCATCGGGTCCGGCTGAAGAGCCAGCAGGGAAAGCTTTAACCGCAGCATGGACTTCTTCTGATGAGAATTCTAAGGGGGCACCCACAGTAGGAGCAGAAGGGAAGTTCAAATCAGCAGGGTGATCAGCGTGTTTTTCTTTGAGAGCAGCAGGACTTCATTCGTTCCCGCTGCAACAGCATCGTCTGATGTTTAAACTTTAACGGCGCCACTTATATCCCCATCTTGTAACTTTGCATTTACGGCTTTCCTCGGTGCTTCGTCGCTGGACCTTTTCTTTTTCGTTTTCTTCACCTTAGTGGTCACGCTGGTGCCTTGTAAATTGGCTTTAACGGACGCAGCCACGACCAGACTTTGACGGGGGAGTGTGTAGATTGTCGAGAGCGAACAAAAGTAATTTACTCCATGCGTCTTCGTCATTCTTCTCAGCACATCCATCCATTATTAAATTTTTGCGTAAAGCTTCAGCACAGGCGCGTCTAGCTCCGGTGGGCACATGACGAAGAACGGCATGGAGTTTTCTTGACTCAATTATGCGGTTTGGAGGCTGGTGCTAGCTGCGGGTTGTGCGGGGTTAGAATCTGCTGAAGGTCCCTGACGGAGAGCTTTAACACGGGCCTTCTTGCATACCAATGAATCGCGGTGCATAGATAGTCCATGGGCAGTTTTGACAACTGTTCCACATAGGTCGCATTTGAACTTTATGTTGATAGTAGCTCCCTAAAAACAGCTGCGAAAGCCAGACAGGGAACCAACAGAACCGAGAGAGAACGCATAAGCAGTCCAGTTCCATTTAACACAGTACATACCTTTTTAAACAGTTCAGGACACCGTCGTCGGCTCAGTTGGATACCCCATAGGCAACGGTCTATAGATGCACTTGGTCAGATCTACCGATGAAAGTCTACTTTTCTGACTTGATTACCTCATCAACAAATTGCAACGAGCCGTGGTTGTTAACCACATTAGAGCAACGCGAGCGCAAGCGCCAACACCACGGGATTTGTTAAAGTGGAAAAGTGTTACATGACACTCTTCGTGCGGGCAGACAAATTATGCTCTTGACCACCAGTTGATAGTAGCGCCTCGCGCTTCGTGTTCGGTGCAGATAAGTATCTACTGGATATAAGCGCGGAAAACTGTTGGCTGTAGGTTTGAGCTGCGGGAAACACTCGCAGTTGTTTGCTTATTCCGCCCGCACCTTTAACCGGCGGTGAAGCACACGAAAAATGGGAAAACCGTTCAGTCAAGATATCATTTAATCCCGCAGACGGAAGGTACGGACTATGGTCCGACGGAACTGAGAAGCTCCTCAAGAAACTGCCCGCGAATGCCAAAGCAAATGCCACCGGCCAGAAAAAAAAAGAGTTTCTCTCGGAACGAAGTGGTATATGTGCTGCGAACGGCACCTGACCAGAATAGCATTGATGAACCGTTTTTTTACTAAATTAGTTTATTGGTCTCTTGTTGAAAAAATTGCGATAAATCTGCAGCCAAGCTACCCTCACATGATCAGAACAAACGTTTGGCATGGCAAGCTAAACAGAGAGCGTTATTTCCGGTTGCAGAAAATCATATTCTGTGAGACAGACCCACATGGCGTCAGCTAAGGCGCGCTATCGATGCTGGTTGAATCAATTCATTGACTTGCAAGTTGCCACTTGCTGTGCGGATCAATTAGCCGGCAAACGTTAGTGCAGCGGGATGCGTGTCGAGCAACAGTGCAGATAAAAGGAATCAATTCAGGAATCAATTATCTCATTCACTGCAGTTTAATGGTCGACACGATCGGCTTTTGCCAGTTATCGCACTTATGTACGTATAGAAGTTTACACACTGCCTTATACAATGCCGTTTGCCGCAACAACTGATAGACGACCAGTCTATCCAATGGCAATAACAAGGGCAAAATTTTGTCTGTCCATTTTAAATTGTAAACAGTACTGTATACAACAACCAGGAAATGATTATCCCGTAAAAATCCACGCTGCTCTGGAATTGTTGCCCATAACGTCAGCACTTATTCAACACTTTGATTCTCGCATAAAAAACAACATTACTGTCTATACTATACATTCCGGTTGAGTCGCAGCATTCTTAGCGGTGGTGAGAAATCCAATATCCGATGCACGTATTAGGTTTACACGCATTGCTTGTCAACTTCCGTTGTACGGCGCTCTTGTCTTTCCTTGATACAACTCATTTTTTGCGGGGATCTGTATTGGTTGCAGAAAGCACTTCTGACTTACCAAAAGTCTCATTATGAACCGATGCTCTTCAAATTTTGCATGAAAACACACATTACTATGAAGATCGTTTTGGTACCGAACCAGCTTTCTACCATTTTTTTCAAACTTTAAAATGAATTTCAAAAATTTTAAAAATTAATTTAAAATTTGAAAAAATGGTAAACCATGTCTACGAATACAAATTCTTTGGCTACAAAATGTCATAAAGCAACGCAAAAAATTGCTTAGGAGTGGGCGACGGCGGAAGTTCCCGTGTATGTACCCGAATGCGGTACTATGTACCAGGCCAAATCCCTTAACATCTGCATATCCAGGCTTTGTTGAATTAAAAATTGTGGCATGATAGTATGCAAGATGTAGGTATGCACGAACGAGATATTTCCTCATTACATGTCTAACAAGCTCGACAAAGACAATTTGCGCAATGGGGATGATTAATCGATTAGCGACATTTCATTATGCGAAAACTATCTGGTGTGTTGCTTGGGGTGCAACGGCAATTGAGCGAAGGGATCAGCGACACACCCACCCGGAAAAAAGTTGTCCCCTTAAATCCCAACCGCAGTTTATGAGCTGTGTGGCCGTGTGAGAGTTTCATACAACAAATGTGCGCTTAACTGGTTAAAACGAGCTTCGTTTCTTTAGTAATCCGTAAAGCTGCAACATGAAATTCAAGTAAAAAGAAACACCAACTTGCAGTGTGTAATCGTTGAGCCGGCTACGGCACGTGTTGTCTGCACTGACTCTGCAGTCGTCTTTAGCATCCCGCTGCCATTTTTATAACATATTTTTTTTAACTTTAGTCACGACTTAAGCAGGCATAACGTATGCGGTACCGCTTCACTGCGTGTTAAATTCATCGATTCATTTTACACTGCACAACAAAATTATTAATATAATGTTCATATAAATTAAATTATTATGTCCATTTTTCCATCAATTTGGCTGTTTTACCGCCATAAGGAGAAGCGCCGGCATCTGTCTCTGTAATACCGTGCTGCTCTTGCAGCTTTTATGCCGTATTGTTGTTGCGGCGTTATCCTCCTGGGATGAAACTGGCCGGATCATCCGATTATTATTTGGCTGATAAGGTCAGGTCCAACCCATACTGCATTGTCATGCACAGTTTGATAAAGGTTCTCGTTAGTCGTTAGTAGCTCGTTACCATGCGGTGCAAATCAATGTGCAGGTAAATGTTATTGCCTAATTAATGTTTAATGTCTGTCGCTGTGTTATTACTAATTACTGTCCGTCTGTGTATATAATATATTCTATGTAAGAGTTTGTTCGTTGTTATTTTAATAGCGACAGCCGATAAAATTGCCTGCCTGAGTATGCCCAAGTACATGAGCAAAGTATTGTACAGTACATGGACTGCTAAGTGCACAAATAAGAAACTCAACATGGCGCAATAACTGGTATTTCTGTTCCATCTACCGTGCTAGCGTACAACTTGTCCTGTGATTTACGTTGTACGTGTAAAAGCTGCATTACGTACGAGTGCCACTACATCACTTCTACCACAATGACAAGAGTTTTTTCCTTGCAGTTATACATAAGAGGAAAATACATGGAATTCGCGTGCATAAACGAGGCAATGTATCAGGTTAAGAAGGTTGTTGCGGGTTAATCGGGGTTATTTTGTTGCCGTCTTAATTAAATTCACAAACCCAGATGAGACAAGGCAGTCAGCGCGAGCGCTCGATAATTTTTTTCTGCAGGAGGTCGCCGTTGGCCGACTGTGTCGAGGACGGAGCAAGTTGTTTCGGCCTTGGTTCAAGTGTAATTATTCCCATCGGACTGCGAGAACCGGTCTGATGTGCAACGACGTCGCTGAGGGAAGAAACGGTGAAATTACATCGTCATCATTTTGCGGGAATGAGGATGAATCTCCGTCTGTGTGACCATTGCTAGAGCGCTAATTTCTGATGCGTCACCGGACAGCCGCAGCTGATTAGGCCGCTCTTTAGGCGGATTATTAGCGTCGCGCAGCGGATTCATCTACCGCACACGTGAACCCGCTTAAGCTCCATTCACGACTGCAGGCGCATTTTCAGGGCTAATGCGCGTACCCATCCGCAGCCGGCTCAGTTGTTGATGACCGTCTTCTCGCGATTTCGGCACGGAGAATTTTTTCTTTGGTGATTCCACTTTCAAGCACGCGCGTAAATGTATTTACAGTAGACTCTCTTTAAAGTTACCTTCTGGTAGAGTTTTCGAAATTTCTCTTGATCTTTACGACCATGATGGACCATCGATCAGTTAATTACGAGAGAGACGTAGTTAATGTTCTCCAGTGGAAGAAATTTGAACGTTCCCGGCTTTCATTGTAAATCTTCCGATGCAGCGGTTGTACACCAGGGTTGTCAGGCCGTTCAGTGTCGGAACTATAAGATGCTTGACTTCCGTTGCTCGGCTTTCAGTTTGTTATTGTACCTGCGAAAGCAATGGGCTTGATGGTGAAGTACATCAATGTACCCAGGCCAGTATATTAATGTACCCACTACCCAGGTAATGTCTGGTTATAGCTGATCCCAGGATAATCTGTGGGAAGAGCGCAGAAGACACGGTATCCGCTTCCTGTTGCGAGATCAGGACTAACATTTTACTCTATTTAAAAAGCACACATTTCGTATTACCTGGCAGATTTTTACAAGGATACTTTTTGCTTTGCATGGACATTCTGAACTTTGCTTTGGACTTTGTGGGCTTCTATGCGGTTGTGCTAATGCTGCTGCGCACTTTGTAGAAGGGCTATGGCAACGATCTTGAACAGCAGCGCGCCCAGCGTCAATCTGACGGAGTGCGGTTGGCCGGTAATTCCTCTGCGGCCACCAGTCGCGAGCGCCACGATATTCGCCGACTGGATGTATTCTCCTACCCGTTCCTGCTGGCGTTGGCCACCCTGGGCAACACGCTCAACATTATCATCCTCAAGCGCGAGAAACCCTGCACCTCTAAGAACGTCTATTTGATCGCCATCGCCGCGTCTGACATGATATTCAAGTAAGGTAGCACACCGTCGTTAATCTGGTACCGATGTTCGTATCGCTCGTTCCATGTTATTTTACAGCGATTTTTTTTATGTTTCTTACACGATACAACAAAATTCGAGCACAAAATGTATCGACAAATTTCGGTTTTCCATGTTTTAAGTTGTACCATACATATACCTTTTTTATGTTTCTTCTGTTTTCTGATGTTTTTTCCTGTTCTTATATACGTATCTAGCTCATATTAGTTTTCGTTTCGATTCGTTTTTCGTTTTATATGATAGTGGTTTATTTGTAGGTGGAGCGCGCTTATGTTCTACATAATTAATTTCGACGGAGAGGTGCACGGGATGCCGCGACCGCACCTGTACGCTGCCGTCCGGCCAATCCAAGGTTTCGGCGCTTTTTGTCAAGAGACAGCTGCCGTGTTTTCCTCCTGGTGAGTTTCACCGCTCACAGTGCCATTTACGCAAAAATCACAAAGCATGTTCACTTACGTATTGTTCAATGGACGGTTGCGAAGACACGCATAATGATGCCGTTATATTTATAGGGTTATCGTGGCGTTCAGCGTGGAGCGCTTCATTGCCATCAAGTACCCACTGCGGCATATGATCAAGGATAATCTCCGTCAGTCACGTGTCAACATTGGCGCAATTCTCTTCAGTGCCGTCCTACTGGTAATCCATCGCTTAGTGGACTACTACCACTATTATGTCCGCTACGGCGGGACGAACGCGCCGCACCGGCGTACGACGATTCTCTTGAGCTGGAACCTCATCTATACCTGGCTAATTGTACGTATTTAGTACTATGTACACATTTTCATGTTGTGATGCTAATCGCTAGAAGACGCTGTCTAGGCATTCATAAAAAGTTTCTAATGTAATAACGTGTTCAGAAAAAAGCGTCTTATGTTGACGGAGCGTTCATACGAACTGTTGAACCGATTTCATCGCTTGACCAAACGTAGGTTTAGCAAGTCGTTCGTCTATAAAATCTATTGTATACTGGTATCGCGGTCCGGCGGAAAAAAATATCTTCAAGACTTCAACAGTAAGCTTAGGCTGAAATTTATGTTATTAATTGCGTCTATTAATACGGAGGCTTCGCCTTCATAATCTGATTGGAACTTTGAATCCTGCACTGCGTAACACTGACCAAATACGTCCTCTAAGCAGGTTACCTTTTAAAGTACGTTATTTTTTAACTCAAGGACAGAGAGTTTGGTTGTTTTTCTAATGCTTAAAAATTTTTTTAACCGTAAAGTACTGTGGTGCCAAGTGAATTCCGCACCATTTCGTAAAGCGTGATACGCTAGAGCTGTATATGGGGTTCAGCGTTCGCTGAACGCGCTGAACAGCGTCTGGCTGCCAGTAGTAAAGGGCCGAGCGTTGCTTACTCTTGAAAAATCGTTCCTGCTTCAGAACGGCTCTCTGTCAAGACTTACAGACTTGAATTCAATCAAAAAAACATTTTTACATTAATTGATGTTTACAAAACATGTGAACTGTATCACGTATTGTCTAGCTGCTGGTTCGAAACGCTTTGTCGTACCCACACGTACTACTGAATGTGAATTTTTTCAAATCGCTTGTTCAGGCAGTTCATAAGCTTGTAGACAGTGAACCCGCTGAACGCTAGAGCCGCCCATACAGCGCTTGTCTCGCATGCTGTACGAAAAAGTGCGGAATTCACTTGGCACCACAGTAGTGTACCCGAGTTTGCGTTTTATGGTACTTGATCGAATTAGCTTTATAGACTGGAATTGCCTTGACGACCTTGTATCGTCATTCTGGTTCTCAACGCGGCACTCCTCCGCGAAATTCTGCGGACGAAAAGCTTCAGCATGACGCACGCGTACGCCACGCAGACGTCCTCTGGCAGCTGCGACAGCTCCCTCAGTTCCGCCACCAACCACAGTAATCGCTCCGCCGCCCGTCCGGAGAAGAACGCGCTGGTCTTGTTGGCCGGCGTGGTGCTGCTCTTCCTCGTCACACAGCTGCCCGTCATCGTCAACAACGTTCTCAGCCTTCTGGACAAATCCTGCATCCGCGAGTACCCGAAGACCTGGCAGCGCTTCGCCACACCGGTCTGCAATTTCCTCCTCAACTTGAACTTCTCCTGTAATTTCCTGGTATACTGTAGTGCTGATAAGAAGTTCCGCAATAACGTTTATCAGCTGTGTCGTGCAGCACCGCCGGCGAATTCCGGTGCGTCCAATCGCAGGGAGCAGTTTCGGTTGAATAGCGGACATCGGGCTGATAAGGCTGCCGTGCCGCTGACTGCAAAGACGCCGTGAACGAAAGGCATTCGAACACGTGTCCCATGCGATAGATGCGCTATTACTGCCACGCCGAATTTACTGTGAACGATGCGCTGACCGTGTTGTTGAGGGCAAGTCACTTGCGATGGCTGGTTCCTGCGTTTTCTTTCTCTGTGTTCGTTCCGCATACACTTTCACTTTTCGTGCGATGATAAAAAGGAAAGAAGCAATAAATCAATTTGATGTCCTGTATAATGACAATGTGTCTTCCGACATAACTTATACGTACCTGTACTGTACAGGTCCATACAAGTTATGTCGGAGGACATACCCACATACACCATGTACATACATGTACACGTACACCGCTGAAAATGCGCTATGTAGTAAAATATAGCAGTTTATTTCTTTCCCGTCAGATCTCCCCTCGCCAAACTAGTGAGACCAACTAACCAAAACTGTAAAGCCGACGTAATAATTTTTCATCGATACGACACTACTTGACCTTTCCATCCTTTACTCGCCAGATGGAAGGCCTTATTTCGCGCCACATGTACCGTAGTGATTTTCGCAAGCATTGGCGTTATGCATAAAAATTCTAAAGACGCAAAATTGTTTGGTTGTGTTTTAATAAATAATATATGGCGAAATCGAAATAGCGCTGTAATTTTTTATTTTATAACACACTCATGAATTTGATAATCGATAACAGTCACAGCAACATTTGTTCAACATTACAGCAACTTTATTACAGTAACATTTGCTCAACATTACAGCAGCTTTATTACAACAACATTTCTTCTAATGTGTACATTATGGGTCATACAATGTTATGGCAATGTGGTTATGGCAGTTCTTACCCATCACGGCTATTTTATTCTACTACGTTCCTGCATTCGCAAGTTGATGCAACAAACCTCATACACAGTATTGTGACAGTAATAAAATAAAAGGCACGGATTTAAACAGTGTTTAATGAAATGCCCCGTTTAACCTCACTAAATAACGCAACAAAATAGTGGTCATCACTTGTACATGAAGCACTGCCAGTTGATTAAAACCTCCTATCGCTGTAACTTCATTATCAGCTAATCACATCACCCATACAGCGCATATCGATAATCCATTGCAACCCGGCATTGAGAGTAATTTGTCGATAAGTGCTTCCTTACAATACAGCCCATTCCCACGCCTTTGTGTTGACTGGGAATCCGTTGACGCCAGCACGACCCTGTAGCGCTCTTCTGCTGGAGCATCATTATGGAGGAAATGTGTTTTAGGCGCTGATCGTAATGTGGACGTTTCCCACCCTTTCCTTTGCAAACTTCTATGCAGCTTGAACTGATGGGGAGCGTGAGGCCGTGACGCAAGAGACATCAAGGTTTACTACTCCACAATCACTCTGTACAATCAACAAATGCTTCCTTCCGTCTGCCTTCAAGACGTTTCATTAAAATTTTCCCAGTATTTTTCTCGCCACACTCTGTGTAATTTTCCATAGACACCAACTTGACAAGCAAACCATCAGTTTTCTAACAAACGCTGCGATACATTTAAAATTGTAAATTCATTTTGGGTACGATTTATTCCTCAGCGATTATAAAGCAAACTTAAGTTGCAAAATTAGAATGGTTATAAAACGCGATAAATACGATGTGTAGATTACAAGCGATTCTTCTTTAATCCGCCCGCGTAGGCGGCCATCAAAATGACGGACAAAAGTTTGTGTTGCGTGGCGGCGATTAATGCGAGCCACCTGCCGGAGTCGCGATTAAACGGGTCTCATCCGCGGATCATGCAAATTGCGGCCCGGCCAACGGGGCATCAATGCCGGCATGTAAAACACAGGCAGCCAACCGCTGGGATATTTTCACGCATTACAACCGCGAACGCCGACTGCGCCGGTCGTCCCGCTCGATCCCATATCGACTGCCGGGCTGTGTCGATCAATTAACTTGCCCACTCGGTAAACCGCAAACCGCAAACTCCACCAGCTGAACGTACTTCCGCATAAACGCTCCAGCTGGCTGACGATGCAGCCAACACGGGCTGTCACTTTGCCGCTGCGCATCTTCGCTTCTATGTACATATTCCATGTCGGTTGATCTTGTTTTAAAATGGGATACAACGGCAATCTGTTCCGCTGGATGATCATGTTCCGCTAATCACGTGACGTAATCTTCTACCGTAATTTGTCAACCGCAATTTTTTGTGTATCGAACAATCTTCGTATTTATATTGCACCGTAATTTGTCGATCGGAATTTTGCCTAATTTCCTTATAAACTTTCATGACGCGTGTATGGATGGAAATCGGACGGCCAGGAAAATAAATAGTGACACAAGCTGTCACACTTATTACCGTATTACTCCGCCTGTCACTGCCTGATTGCCTCCTCATGGGCGCATCGCGCTGTGCGCTTATTTATTCCTGCCACAAATTATTTCCGTCCACTCTTCCTGCATTATTCATCTCCAGCGCAGTGCAACGCCGTCGTCAGTGACCCGTCCGTGTTCCCGGCGAAACTGGAGCACGATTGTGGAGTTTGCGCTAATTATCCACTGAAGAAGATATCCTGATTGGGCGTCCCGAAGCGTCTCCTAACAAAATCCCCGGCAATTGTTACGCGTGACCGGCATGGCGATCACGTGAGCGCCGCGTAACGAACGGTATCGCTGTTAATTACCTCGTGGCTGCGTCCCTTTGGGTGGACGTAGCGTGGAACAGTAATTACGTGTCACTACAGAATATACAAGTAGACATTCCCGGCGCTCTTCCCGAATCCAGAGCGTAGCGCTATATCCAGTTGCAGTCCATGTTAATCCGCAGCGCAACCGGCATCCGATCCACGCAACGGTAAAGCGATAGTTGTCTGTGTTTGCGCTTGTACCATACAGTCTGCGCGCTGCGAACGACCGTAGTTAGAATCATCAACATTTTGGCCGGGATTGCCGGGATTCAAGTGCGATCTTATCCCGGGATAAGTGTGGACATAACAATCCCCTGAAGACCCGGCGCGGAATCGCAGCCTATACGGTAAGTGAATGCGTAAGCGTATTATGTAATACCAGCTTTAAAAGCAAGTTATAGGCTTTGTAAAATAAACACGTGCAAATTTATAACGCTGAAATTGTGTATTTTCTTGAGTATTTTATATCGTAAATATTCAGCGCTGCGCTGCGTTTTTTTGCCGTTTTAATGCGAGTTTATTGAGTTGATTTAGGATGCAGTGACGCGCAGCATTATGCGTGGCGCGCTCAAGTAGGATTTCCTGGATAAGCGTGCACATGCGAAGCACGTGTTGATTCGCAACTGGAAATGGCTGTTTTCTTATGCGCAATCGTTTATGCCATAACCCACTTGAACCAGTGCCGCGGCGCTTTGCCAAGTGGTGATTATATTTTTCCCCCACAAACGTAAATATTGCCGCAACGCGGCTGTACAATGCGCCCAATCGCTCCGCTGTACAATTCCGCGTCAATAGCGGATGTTATTTCAACGGACGGCGAACAAAGCGTTATTGCTGAGTCATTGTGTGGGCCGTTCTCTAACCAGCGCGCATTTCCAGCCGACATTAAGCAACATTTCCATATACAGAAATAAATCGTTTAATTACTGGCTTCTTTCATTTTTAACCAGCAGCGAAGTGATCCACGATTTAATGAAGTTCTGACGAAGATAATTCGATCTGAATGTTTTTAAGTGAAAATGACCTTGGGTGCCGGGCGAGGCCGCTCGCTGACCTTTAAAAGCGGGACCCACAAATAATCCTGAAGTCCGCAATATACATTTTCGGTAATGTGTTTTCGGCGTATGTTGTTGTCGCTGCGAGCTTCGATCTCGTCCCAACACGTAACTAAATCAGCGCTCAAGTAATGACATTCGCCGGGGTAACCGGAGCCGTGGCTGTTGCGGTAATAGCTGACGGCGAGGATTAGCTGGACTATTAACGTCAGCGCGCCATATTCATTACCATGTAGCCATCCTGATGTTGCGCTGCATTCTTGCGCCGCTCGGGGCCCTGCAACATATTACACACTCGTTCGCCTTGACATTCCCCGCATTCATCAGCGTGGATGATTTTTCTTTAGCCGGGAAAAAAATCATCTACATGATGGATGTGTAGTAAATTGTTGGGAAATTTTTTACGCTCTAATTAGCCGGTGAGGCAAGAATGATGTGTACATCGTTATTCGATGGAAAGGGCAGTGTGTATCGGTAATCCATATTGTTCGATAAACATTAGTCAACGTGGTTGAATCGGTCTCATCAAAACTCTCACGCTTCCTTATTTGCTATGCTGTATGCCAATCGATGCTGGCGTATTGCGTGGCCAGTGTAATGATGTTCTCGATCTTTAGCTTGTTAATGTCAGCGGCACACTGAGTGTAAGTCCGTGTATTTTACAAGTTTGTCCCTAATTTCTGTATTAAAGGTAGAGACAGAACGTACTGTGCAGTATTTAGCGCGAAAGATGCGCTATGAACGATTGCCAATACACTACGTGTACCACAATGGCTGATTCACTCCTCGCATTATCTAAAGTGGTTATAAAGGAGAGAAGTTAATATTTTATAATTTATATCGATAGTTTATAATTATTTAGATCGATATTTGGCTATGCATCAGCCATATCAAACGCATGTAGGCGTGGCGCGTCCTGCAAATGGACTTGTACGTAACGCGTGAATGTGTATATTTCGTTGTATAAATGCGATAGAAATTACGACGCGAGCTTGTAAAGCGCAGAGTAGCTAACGTACATGATAAATACAGCACGGTTGATGATCGATCATTGCAGATAAGAGGATGAGCAATAGTTCCCTGTTGCCGCTGAATGAGTGCGGTTGGCCGATGGCCATCTTCCCCAACACCAGCACGGAGCGCCACAATATCCGCTATTTGGATCTGTATTCCTATCCACCGCTGCTGGCCATCGCCACCCTCGGCAACCTGGTCAACATCATCGTGCTCAAACGGGAAAAGCCCTGTACTCCGAAGAATGTGTATCTCATTGCCATCGCACTGACCGATCTGATCTTTATGTAAGTGTGATCAAGCGTTTAATGGAGGTATACAGCAGTCGGCTGTTCTTCCGTTAGCGGGGAAGTTCTACAAAGAACGAATAAAAACCCGTTTTCATGCGTTCTAAAAGGTGATACAGTAAACTCTGTGAGATTGAACAACTGCGAAAATTGAGCAACTGCGAATACTGAACAGTTTCTTACACTGAACACTTTTCAAGGAACCGTAGGGGTTCAAATTACACAGGTTTTACTGTAGTATCAAATTAATTTTATCCAGTTTATTTACCTTGTGCGTTTGAGAAAATGCCTACCTACATGAATTCGCTTTAACGCTAGTAATTAGATTCTCGCCTGCCAAATCATTTTCTTCCTACAAACTACGACATCTTTTTATAGCTTGAGTGTGTAATACAGTATATACCTACAACATTTTATGAGAAAATTGTAATAAGACTCCCTCCATTAATTACGAAGTAGTGTCCTCCCGCTTGCGGCGCTCGTATTTCTGTAATTTTGATTTATTTCTGCAGTAGTCTCTTCTTTCATTCTACACAATATTATTTCTGAAGGCATACCAAAATTAAGTAATAATTTTTGTTGTGTTCAATGCGTTCACATTTTAAAGTGGGTGTCAGGAGATCCGACGGAATCTGAATGATATCCTAAGTATAATACCTTTAATCAGTAAGTTTTACAAAAGGCAACGCCTAGCGTTCACACGATCTCGATGAAGAATCCAGAATTATCCTAAGTTGTACTTCGTCACTGATGAAAACGGCAGCACTTGACCGCGAGTCTGACCAACGCCTGATGAGAGCGTCGCCAGACCTTTTGACCCCACGTATACGCATTTCGACTACGCACAACGGTAGGCCAATTACGGCTTCATTAAACTTGCATGACAGCGTAACGATCTGATTTTCCCTGCCAACGCCGTCCACCTTTCTCTTACTTCCCATCACAGCCGATCGTTTTCCAGCTGACGTAAGGTACACAGTGCATCCGCGACCAATTCCCGGGTTATTTCTTGCAAGCGTTGCCTTTGCCTTTATAATGGAGTTAAGCACCTGTCAGTGGGATTGTGGCAGTCACATCCCGATACGGAGTGGCGTCAGAACTGCATCGGGACGAGACACTTGAGTGTCGAGATGTGACGTAACGCGCCAATGACCAGTTTGGAAGAAAAAGCGCAGGCGTTTTCGTGATGGGCTCTGGATTTCCGAGGGATGGGAGGATTTCTGTCGGTCATGATTTAATCGTTTATTTATGCAGTACTGTCTATGGAACATGTGCATTACATCGAAATGATCGAATCTGGAGTTCAGTCTGTTATCCGTTAATCAGTAGAGCGTTAGGCTCCATATGAGATCAGTAACCCCTATGGCCAAGCGTACGTATTTTTGCGTAACCACACCACTGCCACTTTTAAAACACAAAAAGGTGTACTGCTGTGATTAATTAGTCGAAGTGAATTTGAATATTATGCAATAATAATAACTCTGAATTTGTGATGTAATGCAGCTGACCCTTCTTGTGCCCTTGGCGAACACTGCGAACGCTGCGAATATGGGAAAACGATGTGGGATATATTTACCGTTAGTACCAATATGCTATACAGTACTTGTATCTGTACTGCAGTCGGCTGGACACATTATTGTAACGACGCCTATTGTACAGTAGGTTACGTACGATATTGAGAGTTTTGGTGGTTGCTCATATTTATACCGCTCATACGCTTTGTTCGTACAAATAAATTTTAATACTTAATAATTGTTATTTACCAATAATTCATTTATACGATCACCGCACGCTATTGTACGTGTACGTAGCCGTAGTGCACATGCAGTGGGCTTCAGATTTACGCTTAGAGTATTTGTATACTCGTTCAATTTTATATTTTTTTCGCTTTCCTGGTAACAGTGTTCTACTTAGATTATTTTTAATCATTGCTGATTAGTACGAATACTTAGATTGCTAATACTCAGATTTTGGTAAACGCTCTTAAATTATTACTTGGTACAGTACTTGGTGGTTGTAGTGCGTACGTTGTTATCACTTCTATTAAGGTCCCACCTACATTTTCAGCATTCACGCGTATTCGCCAGGTTCGCCAAGTTCATGTTAAGGTTACAAGATTACAACGTATCCAGGATACAATAACTGTTACAATTCTGGTACTTAAATACGTTCAACTTAATGAAAACTGAATTAGCAATAGAAGGTAGCATTACTGATATACCGTACTCTAATACTGTTTCATCCATGACTACGAATGCCGTAAACAACTGTGCCCAAATCGGCGGGACCGGTTCATTTGTGACCACCTACTTCAGGAACCAATCACAATTTAGATGATTTCCACTATGCACACTGCTTGGTTCTTCGAATTCCTCAATAACGTATCATTTACCTCCCCGTTTATTGCTTAAGGGATTTGGCCCGGCACATAGCACCAAATTTGTATACATCCACGGCAACTTTCGCTGTCGCGCACTCCTAAACACTTTTTTGCATTGCTTTATGCCATTTTGTAGCCAAAGGATTTGTATACGTAGGCGTTAAATCCGTTTGCGCGCGCAATTTGAAGAGCATCGGATTCGGTTCATAATGAGACTTTTGGTACACCTCCACGCGTTTAAATTTTTAGAATTTTATTTCATTAAAAATTACGAACCGGATGTTGCGCGCGCAAACGGATTTCACGCCTACGTATACAAACTCTTTGGCTATAAAATGTCATAAAGCAATGCAAAAACGTATTTACTAGTGCCCGATGGCGAAAGTTCACGTGTAGGTACCCGAATTTCGTACTATGTACCGGGCCAAATCCCTTAATGCTGGTTGCTTGAGTATATCATTCTGGGATAACGTTTCCCGTCATCGATTCGAAAATAACCGTAACAAATGAACTATTGCTCAAATAGTAGTTTTTTCGTTCGTGATGTACTGCTTACTTAATTATTATCATCTACTATACTTTTGTATAACGCAATATTGTACATAAAAACCAAGTATCTATTTATCCAAAAAACATCGTTGTAAAGTCGGTATATTAAGCGCTCTTGCTTATTGTGTAGTAACGTTTTTTATTTACTGCTACGAGTGTGAGATTTCCAAGTAGTACGTTTCCGAATATGGAAAATTAAGTCCGGCATATTATTGGGTATGCCTACAAAGGCCGACCTTTAAAGTAATCTTGGCGAACGCTGCGAAGGCTGCGAATATGGGAAAATCAAACAAGCATGGCGTTGGGTATGCTTACTAAGACTGACCTTTAAAGTATCCTTGGCGAACGCTCCGAAGGCTGCGAATATGGGAAAATCAAGCACGGCATGTCGTTGGGTATGATTACGAAGATTGACCTTTAAAGTACCCTTGGCGAACGCTTCGAAGCCTGCGAATATAGGGAAATCAAACTCGGCATGTCGTTGGGTATGCTTACGAAGACTGACCTTTAAAGTATCCTTGGCGAACACTGCAAAGCCTGCGAATATGGGGAAATCAAGCACGGCATGTCGTTGGGTATGCTTAAGATTCACCTTTAAAGTAATATTGGCGAACGCTGAGAATAAGGGAAAATTAAACCTGGCATATGGTTAGGTATGCTTACGAAGATTGACCTTAAAAGTACCCTTGGCGAACGCTGCAAAGGCTAAGAATAAGGGAAAATCAAACCCGGCATATCATTGAGTATGCTTACGAAGATTGATCTTCAAAGTATATTTGGCGAACGCTGCGAAGGCTGCGAATATAGGAAAATCAAACCCGGCATATCGTTGGGTATGCTTACGAAGATTGACCTTTAAAGTACTATTGGCGAACGCTGCGAAGGGCTAAGAATAGGGGGAAACCAAACCCGGCAAGTCGTTGGGTATGTTTACAAAGATTGACATTTAAAGTACCCTTGGCGAACGCTGCGAAACCTACGAATATAGGAAAATGAAACCCGGCATGTCGTTGGGTATGCTTATGAAGATTCACATTTAAGGTCCCATTGGCGAACGCTGCGAAGGCTGAGAATATAGGGAAATCAAACCCGGCATATGGTTAGGTATGCTTACGAAGATTGGCCTTAAAAGTACCCTTGGCGAACGCTGCAAAGGCTAAGAATAGGGGAAAATAAAACCCGGTATATCGTTGGGTATGCTTATGAAGATTGACCTTCAAAGTATATTTGGCGAACGCTGCGAAGGCTGCGAATATAGGAAAATGAAACCGGGCATGTCTTTGGGTATGCTTATGAATATTCACCTTTAAAGTCCCATTGGCGAACGCTGCGAAGGGCTAAGAATTGGGGAAAACCAAACCCGGCAAGTCGTTGGGTATGTTTACAAAGATTGACCTATAAGGTGCCCTTGGCGAACGCTGCGAAGGGTGCAAATATAGGGAAATCAAACCCGGCATGTCGTTGGGTATGATTACGAAGATTGACCTTTAAAGTATCCTTGGCGAACGCTGCGAAGGCTGCGAATATGGAAAATCAAACCCGGCATGTCGTTGGGTATGATTACGAAGATTGACCTTTAAAGTATTCTTGGCGAACGCTGCGAATATGGAAAATCAAACCCGGCATATCGTTGAGTATGTTTACAAACTACTGACCTATAAGGTGCCCTCGGCGAACGCTGCGAAGGGTGCGAATACAGGGAAATCAAACCCGGCATGTCGTTGGGTATGATTACGAAGATTGACCTTTAAAGTATCCTTGGCGAACGCTGCGAAGGGTGCGAATATAGGGAAATCAAACCCGGCATGTCGTTGGGTATGATTACGAAGATTGACCTTTAAAGTATTCTTGGCGAACGCTGCGAATATGGAAAATCAAACCCGGCATATCGTTGATTATGTTTACAAACTACTGACCTATAAGGTGCCCTCGGCGAACGCTGCGAAGGGTGCGAATACAGGGAAATCAAACCCGGCATGTCGTTGGGTATGATTACGAAGATTGACCTTTAAAGTATCCTTGGCGAACGCTGCGAAGGCTGCGAATATGGAAAATCAAACCCGGCATATCGTTGAGTATGTTTACTAACTACTGACCTATAAGGTGCCCTTGGCGAACGCTGCGAAGGCTGCGAATATGGGAAAATCAAACCCGGCATATCTTTGGGTATGCTTACAAAGACTGACCATTAAAGTATTGTTGATGTATGCTTACAAAGACTGGCCTTTGGAGTACCCTTGGCAAACGCTGCGAATGGTGCGAAAATGATAGTATCAGAACCGGGATAATTACAGTGACCGCCGGAGCCATTTTGGCAAAATGTGGGAATACAAGAATATAGGAAAATCAGAATCGGCATTTTTACAGTGGCCGGAGCAGCCCCCTCGGCGATTTGTGCGAATGCTGCAAATATGAGAAAATCAGATCTTAGATATATAGAGTAACTTCGCAAGCCACATTGGCGAACTTTGCGAATGCTGCAGAGTCCTGATAATTTAGGTCTGACTGGCAAACTAATATCAACAATTCTCCTGTAATCGGCAACGCCCATACGCCCATACGCCCATACTATCGTCACCGACTGGCTTTTTCAGTTGCTGCTGTATAAACCGAAAGACACATAAACGCTAATATTTGCAGACGAACCCACATTAACTCCAGAATGCATTGTTTCTGATGCAATAATTATCGTTTTGAAATGCGTACGTCATTTGTGTAGGCTACATATATGGGGTTACTGATCTCATTCTTTACCGAGCGTTAACAACGAACGTCCTAATGGTGCCTTTTATTGTCGTACTCGTATTTACTATTAGACGTAGTTGTAGGTTACAAGCTTTACGATAAAGCTGTGACATAATAGACACACTGTTGTTTTCAAAAGACAGGATGTACTAATTTTACTTAGGAAGCACGTGTTGCAGGTGGAGTGCCATCATCTCCTACATCTCGAACTACGACGGCGAAGTACACGGTCGACCCACGCCGGCCATAAGAAAAGCCATCGATCGCATTAGAGGCATCGGTCCATTTTGCCAGGAGTGGGCGGTCATGTCGTCTTCTTGGTAAGCATGATATCTTCAGCATGATCAACTTAAACAAAGGAGGACGGAGTCCGGCACCGTAATTTTAAAACAAATCGACTGCAAAAACTAGAGCGTATTTTAAAATTTTAGTAAAACAGGGCTTGATTCAAGGCTTTTTGCCATTTTTATTCGCCAGATCAGAGCAACGAATATTTAAAACATAAACAGGAGGGAGGGAAGGAATATGCATGTTTGTTTGTAGGATAATTATCGCCTTCACCACCGAGCGGTTTGTGGCTATCAAGTACCCCCTTCAGCACAAGATCAAAGACAATCTACGCCACTGTCGTGTCAACGTGTACGGCACCTTTCTGGTAGCGCTGCTGCTGGCTAGTCACCGCTTAGTGGATTACTACTGGTTCCACATCAACAGTGACGGAATGGGTCGGCGGCCTCCGCGACCCTATCATCTGTACAGATGGAACATGGCCCACGAGTGGGCAATTGTACGTAGCATGCTGCAGTGCGTGCACAACCAGTTTTAAACGAATCCTGGACCACGCTGACCGTGTCGTTGCAGGTTGTGCTGCAGCTACTCACCCTGGCCGTGATGATCATCCTCAACGCGATGCTCTTACGCGAAATCATCCGCACCCGCCAATTTCACCGTCCAGAGCTGGCGCACGCCCGCGCCTCCTACTGCGTCTCGGACGGCAGCGAAATCTCCGCCCAACTGAGCAGCGCCAGTTCTACCACGCCCCCCAAGTACACGGTCCGCCCGGAGCGCAACGCCCTGATTCTGCTGGGCGGCGTGGTGCTGCTGTTCCTCTGCACGCAAGTCCCGGCGGTCTACTTCGTCGTCCTCAACCTGCTGGAGAAATCATGCATCCGGGAGATGCCAGTGTACATTAAGGCGGTGGCGGTGCCCCTCCGCAACTTCTTCATGAACGTCAACTTCTCCGGCAACTTCCTGGTGTACTGCAGCGTGGACCGGCGCTTCCGCAGTAGTGTGTACCATGTGTGTCATGCGCCGCCGGAACGGACCGCGGCGGTGCGCCGGGAGAACTTCCGCATGAATGATGTGCACAAGTTGTCGGAGAAGTCCACGGCGCCGTTGGTGGCCACGTTATCCCAAGAATGATGACACCCTTCCGTTCAATACGATAATTCCGTATTACCTTGCTGACTATACTGGCCAGTGGCAGTTCAATGCACTGCGGTAGTCGCTCTAAAACTGCGTCAGTTTTGTTGGCCGCACTGACACTTTTACTTTCACACAAACACTTTTAGAGCTCTATCTGGAGCGCGTGATGGCGTAATGATATAACATTCCGTGATCAGTTAATTTTCTTGTATTACTTTTTGCACCGTCCAGGAGCTATTGATCGCTACAAGTATTGTATCTCGGTAACTGCTCGATCATTGCAAGCAGTAGCGGTTTAATTGAAAGTATATCTGTAAACCACTTCGCCGTCGTCGACATGAACGTACTGAATCTGTTGCATGCATGTAAAAATGTAGAACAAATCCTAATTAGTAAAACTCTTTCGGGATCGGCGTTTTTGTTACTTAGTTAATCCTGATTAACAGATAACAGCCACTAGAGTAAGAAAACAAGGCAAAGGCGGTTGCAACGTACTGCGAACACAAGTAAGTACGAGTAAATGAATTCCAACACAAATACAAATCACCGTTTCTTTTTCTCTTTGATTATGGGAAGCGCCCAGTAAAGATGTGCTGCGACCAATCACCTTCACCGAGTTATGTAATAATATCATAGCGAATACAGCGAACCGAAGGTGCTTTTGTAACTGGTCACCCTGGCCGACTGTGACGTGAAGAGGGAATTAAAAGCGCACCGGGTTGGTCTCAGGGTCCTGGCACTTCTTCTTCTGTAGGGCCACGGACTCTCTGGTTTCCGTGATGAACGCTTCCGGTCGAATTAGCTTGCGCAGCTTCTGTAAACCACATTCAATAGACCGGCTCGGAATCGGCGATGATAATGTGTGAGGTTAGCATGTTAGGGATATTGGCTGATTTGTACATAGGTCCTTACAATGCGAAGTGCACCGTTCCCGGTCAGCAGTGCAACGACAATGTATCCGCTGATGCAGAGGATGGAGGAAAAGGTCAGCGCCCAGCCCAGCGCTATGGACCACGCCGGAAACTCGTAGTTGCCCAGGGTCAGCGGGGAGTAGTGGAACAAGGTCATGAGGAAGACTGTCTAAAATAACTCTTATAAGGTATCCATTTCTTCGACTGCTTCTGTTGATAGGGCGATGTGTACCGCTACTACGAAACTGGGACCAATGCCGGTCCAGCATATCATCCAAATTAATCCAGGCTTGGAGCTCATCATGCGACTGATATCATGCAGCTTCCGCGATTTAACTATAAACAAATGAAACACACTGAGTCGTGTGGGAAAGAAATTAGCTTTATTTCTTATCGGAGCTTACCGTACAAAAAACAAAAAGCCGCGATCTCCACTAACACAAGGAATGTACAAGCGATTGTCGGCCCGAAAAAGTCTGCACCGAAACGGAGGATGAACATCAGTTTTAGGTTGGATTTTTTCTACTTTTACTTACCTAATAAAGTGACGACGTACTGTCCACCCTAATAATACGTATACAGCTGTGTATTTGCGATACGGTCGCCTATGAACGACTTCGTACCACTTCAAAAATGCGAACCGTTTTTTCGCTTCCGTATTCCACGTATCGGTAAGTAACTTATAAATATTCTCTATGCATTCCGCCTTGCCTGCGCAGTAACGCCAGTAGTGTCTGTCAAGCGGCATACGTATTGATATATTCCGCGTATTCTCACTATATTCTTAAGTGTTCCACCTGTTTTCCATGCAGAATACGCGAGAATACCGGACGAATGGGTACTTAAGAATATTAAGAATACAAAGCTAAAAAATGGGTCGTATTTTTGAAGTGGTACAAAGTCGTCCATATATTATCCAGTATTAGAGATTACGATGTGTTTAGTTAATTAATTAACGTACAGAGGTGGTGCTGGGTAATGAGCACAGGAAACACAGCATGCATAATCCGAAACAGAAGAGTTTTCGATGTTTCCCCAAACGAACTGGGTATTCATCGGAAACTGCCGTTAGAATGGCTTCCAGTCCGTAAAGCTGGAAAAGACACCTGAACGGTCGTGCTTTGGAAGGGACTTGTAATTTCCCTCACATATATTACGGGAAAACCAGTGCCCAATGGTTCAGCTGCCGCTTAGACGATACAGCTTAAGGTCACTAAACCGATTTCAAACTGTAAGTGTAGAGCCGATCTTAAGCTTTATCGTCTGAGCGCCGAGCGGTAGCTGCGTGGCAGGAAAATGAATTTCCCGTTATATATCCGAGAGGGAAACTACAAATCCCCTCCGAATTACCGTGCTGTCTAATCCAAGGGTAATCAACATGAGGAAAAAGATGGCACTCCAGAACTGAGCGCCCGGCATCGTGCTGACGGCCGTTCTAGCAGGAGAAAATAACTGTAGCGATACAGCAGAATGCAGAATAATCCTCCGGGGTTACTTGGGCACAGGAGAAGACTTACGGGAGTGCAACGAAAACCAATCCGGGACCTAAATAAAAGTTACAAGTGACCAGTGTCCACTCAAACTGCTTAATCAGTCTGACAATAATTCTCACCATCGGTGACAACTTCTCTAAGGTCGCGTCCGCTGACGTGCGCCTGATAGCCTAAAATACTGAACACCACTAGTCCGCTGACGAAGCTAAAGATGAGATTGACCAAGCTCGTTAACACGGCATCCCTACAAACAGCAAACCAGCTTTCACTGCATGAGACTTTTTGCTATTTTGTACAGGCATCGTTGCATGCGTCAAAAATGTCGACTGCATCTTTCAGTTACCGAAATGCGTTATTATGGAGTGGATTATAAGATGCCAGGGCCATGTACACGCCGTACCCGGGACCCAGGGAGAAAAAGACCTGGGCCGCTGCGTCTGACCACACTTCAACGGGCAACAAGCGGTCCCATTGTGGATAGAGGAAGTACTCTGCAATACAACTTGATAAGGTCTGCAATAGTCTGCGCCATGGGAATAAATACAGTGCCCGGCTTACGTAAACCGTGGTAGGAGCCCTCTAAAGTCAGCCCGTGGATCAGCAGGATGAGCAGCACAATGAAGGGCACTACACCGGTTATCCACGCGGCCTTCCCTAAACTCTTGGGTCCTAGAAAATACTCACGATGGCGACTAACCGTCAACTGTTGGTTAATTACGCAGTGAATCAGCAATGTTACCCTTCCAAAGCGCAAAATAAGTCACAACATAGACCACGGCCAATCCACAGACTAACTGCCAGCGCGGAGCACCGAGATCGTCGATGCCGGAGGATTGGTGAATTCCCAGCACTTGTCGACTGCGACCACAGAAATAGTATATCAGCTCAAATAACTTTTATTTTTTGAACGTGTAAATTGAAATTATTTTAGGTAGTGTGACCGCACTCGCACTATAAATAAATACACTCACTATATTATAAACAGCACACTACAGTAAAATGCGCTCAGTTCAAGTGAGCATTGACCAAATTCCAGCAGAATATTGGAGACTGAACTGGTCTCGTGGAAATATGTTTTTAATTCAATTCGCCGATATGCACAAAAATGATGTCAATCATTTGTTTCATTCAGAGTAGCCGAATTTAAGCAAATTTGCAATGAAGCATTTGGTAAAGCAGTTTGACAGTAACAACAAGCAAGCACTTACAAATAATATTCCTCCGCTGAATCGTAGGCGCCTGGACTGCAGGAGTCCGTGTTCCAGGTGTGATTGCAATCTACACAGAAAAGGTCACGCATTGCTGTCCATACAGTATTCCATAACGAACGCTGCCCCATTGGTGGCAATTTGACAAGCGTATCCCGGCCACGTTCACTAATTTACTAAGCGGGATATGCTGTACCTGTACTAGCGTCATTCATACTAGCGGCATAGCATTTCCCATAATTTTAAAATGAATTTAATAATTTTTTAAATTCATATGGATCTGATATTGGTTCACTTTCGACTTTATGGCCATGGGTCTTTTACAGCAAAGTTTCAAGAAGATCGAGCAATAACCAGACTATTGGTAGACAACATATGCCTTTTAAATTTTCGCCCATTTTAGTACGCCATATATCTCGGCAACCGGATGTTGCGCGCGCAAACGGTTTCCAGAACAATGCGTACAAATCATTCAGCTTTAAAATGATCTAAAGTATTACAAAAAAGTTATTCGGAGTGCCTGAAAGCGAAAGGTTTAGTGTGTGTATCCCATTTTTTTCGCAATGTACCGGGCCATTTTCCTCAATTGTACAGCCTAAGGAAAGAAACACGAAAGCTACAACAAGAAAGTCTCATTCAGTTTATCCAGCCCTTCCATCGTGCCCATCAACGAGGCGTATTTGTACCGAGACATACCATTAATTCTCTCAGCTGTCTTCTTTAAATAGTTTTAAATCGCAGTATCTTGTAATAATCTTAAATCGTCTGTCATAAAGTAATATTTGCTTCAAAGTTTTAAGCTCGAAACTTGGCCGAAATTGTTGAGCTATTTACTTGATTAAGCAATCGGTGTGCAGTAATTTAACTTTTAAACCACGTTCTCAAGGTCACCTAAAATGGTTCGTGAACCCTGATCTATCGGCCTAGTCGATCGATCGATTAGTCATAAAAGATGTACGGCTTGTAAAGAAAGTGTTTTCTTCACTCACGTGTCCATGGTAATTCCGGTTGGAAAGAAGCCATCAGATAATACATCGCCAAGGAAATAATTGTGTTGTAATAAAAATTCTGCACGCGCAAGAGAAGGGCGTATTTAGTAAAATAAAATTCAGATAAAGAAGCTGCAAATGTCGGTACCATATATAGTAGGATCAGGCAAATTCCAAATCCCACACCTAGAGATGAAATAATCAGACTTGTTGAAATTTATTAACCTTGACTCAAGGTCCTTGAGTATAGTGGACACTGGGCAGCGTCATAAAAACAATATCCACAAATCAAATGAATAATTATTATATTATACTAATTATTTATCATTATATCATTTATTATTATATATTACATTAACTATTATAAAAAATAATTATTATAATAATCGAAAGGACCTTGCGATTATTATAACGATATTATACTATAGTATATTACATATATAATAGCGATATTTTATATATTACGCAATTACACATCGCAAAAGGAGAAAAATAGGAGATTTTGAGGATTTTGTGCTTTATTCATAAATTCCGTCTTCTGTTTTATGTAAATTTTGCCTTCTTGCTTGTAGGAATTAGACGCTTAAACGTTTATACCTTTCAGTAGCGGGCATATGTAGCGCCAAATACTAATACATCCCGATCGGTAATGTTGTCCTATCGCTAGTTCCAGGTAGAGCAGCGGCATCCCGCCTACTACCAGCATCACTGTAATAAAAAGGCTTGTTTTTTGTTTTCTGTAATTGCTTTTCCATAATTGTTTTTCTATAAGCAAAATGGGTATACTAAGACTTTCTATAAAAAGGCAGAGCATACATATACTGTATACAGAGTGCAGATGAGCCGGAGTGCAGCACGTAGTCAAAATTTTAATAACTCACTAAGAAGACAAAAAAACCGGAAGTTACAAAGGTCGTTTATTTGCAAGAAGGCGCTTACCGATGTAGGGAATGAGGAAAGCGCCTGCAGTTGGCATGGACGCATAAAATAAAGTGAGAAAGACAGAATTAACAGCAGCCAACAAAGCCGACATTATCCTAATACACTTCCTAATGTCCAGTGCTCCTCTGTAAATGATGCAATCTGCTGTACATACCTCCTCCTGCAACCAAACAACCCCGAATTGTTTCGCTAAAACAAAAACGTATAATAATTATGTATTTGCCCAACTTTTTCAGTTTCTCCATTACCGACGTACATCAGCGGTTCAGAACTTTTTTTAAATTAACAATCTTCCGAATTTGTTCTGATGTTAATTTTCCCGGAATATTTAGTTCCCGGTAATCGAAACCGGGCAGTGATATGTCGGCCAATACTATAACTCTAATAGTTAAAAATTGAGGGAGCGTTACTGGAGAGATTAATGCTCCCGTAGTTCGTACATTTAAACATTTACTGCCGTTTGGACTGACCATGCTTAGAGCACATGTAAGGGAACCTCCACACATTGCCCAGATCCACGCAGAATCCGGTTATGGCAAGGAGATATTCGATCTGCCGATCCCATGTGCGGCGGTTGGCCGCATTGGCCGGCACCGGCTGACCGGAAGCTGTAGGTACAGGGACCACCATTAGCAGTTAACACCAATTCCTATCCTTTTCAATCTCCCATCAAAGCCATCCCCACCCCCAACTAACAGCAGATTCACACCATCCTTACCGACGACAGCGTTCACCATAACAACACCGTTCTGACAACAAAGGATTTAATGGCCACCGCACACGATGGACAGCTCCGTTCTGCAGAGAAAAAGGCTGCAGCTCAGTAAGAACATCCGCTGCGAGGCAACATCATTAAAATAAGACTAAACTTTTTGAGGATTTTGAATCGTCGAGTCGGCGAATGCGTAAAACAGTTCCTTGGTGTAATTGCATATCGCAAGCCAAATGTTTAGAGGCAAAGTTCTCGAGATCGTCCGCGACGATATCCGTACCCATGTATTGATATGGTTAAGCCGACCGCTATCAACTTGAAGTAATAAAGACAATTGGAAAAATCTTGGCGATTCGAAATTACATAGCTGCGTGGAAGGTTTACCGTGTAGTAACTGCTTTCCTTGACCAGGTGCATCATAACTGCAGATTTACCGGAAGCGGGGACGGTGCGTATACAGATAGGTTTAGCGTGTTTTGGCTCTTTGCTATCGAGGATTTATTTGTACAGTTTCTGAGTTGCAGGTTCATGAGGGAAATTTGTAGCTAAAAAACTATCGTTCGGCCACACTTCGCTGTCGTTGTGCCTAATTGCGGTTTCAGTTTGTTCGGGAGCAGAGAAACCCCCTGGAGCAGTCGTGAGTCTGGTCACCACATCGTAATATAGAAGACAAGATAATATAAAAGACAGAGAACTCACAAGAAAATAATAAAATCGGAGAGATCAAATGATCCGCCAGCATACGAGTTTACAAAAGATTTATAGACTACAAGTTCACAGAGCCACAATTAAAAATTAAAAATTTTTCATAGTCCATCGCCTCATACTTGAAAAATCCAACAGTTTTCCGAATTTTACAACTTCCGCATTAACCTTCTCTCTGTGATCAAATGTGCCTCCAAAAGCGAGTGCACTTTCCTCGTTACAAATGGACGTCAGAATTTTGTTACAAAAGGCGCGCCTGGCACTTTCTGTACTCAAAAAGCAAATTTGAAATTTGGGCCTGGCCATCGGCCTGCGGACATTACCACTTGCACCTTGCGCATTCCCCAACGAAAACCACCGACCGATATCTCAAGCGAACGAGGAAAGAATTTCAAGAATTTTGATACCAAATAAGTTAGTTTTTATGAGATCTAAGAGAAAATCGACGCATCTGAAATTTCTCGTAGATATCTGTATAGCATAGGATTTGAATCCACGGTTTGGATTCAGTTTTCACACAGAAATCGTGTGCTTTGTCTACGACACACTAAAATGGCTCGATTTTTTCTTAGATCTCATAAAAGAGTACCTGTTTGGTATCAAAATTCTTAACATTTTTTTCTCTTTCGTTTGAAATATTGGTTGATGGTTTTCGTTGGGAAATGCATAAGAAGATGGTGTGTTTCTTTACTGGGCAAAAGGCCATCAACATAACAAAATATGTATGCATACGCGTAATACTACATAAAATGATTCGAATTTAAACGTTAAAGAAACAACCAAAATCGTTAGCGCCGTCTGGCCGTTTAGGTCGCATATTCATAGTGCCCAAAACAGCAGCAGCATTTCCTTTAACAACTGCCAGACTAAATCTCTGCTTTAAAAATGCAGTAGAGCGGGGTTCTCCTGTCATGTCGCGAATCTTTCTGCCAGCAAAACGAATAAGCTCCGCGAATGCCGAACCAAATGCGCCAAATGTCTCGACTGCCAGGGGGTAAAGCAGGTAACCTATTCCCTCCACAAAGCCATATTTACGGCGTTTGCTGTCTTCGGCCAGATGTGCAACACTACCGGAGGCTCTTGCGCTTGCCCGCACATGCGATGCAGCTACCGTGTCCCAACATGTGGCATCCCATACGAGCGCTTTACCATCACGTACAGGCACGAGCGTCATCCCATCTGGCCGCGTGTTACCTTTGCCTGATAGTCCTAACGGCTCGCTTTGACATGGATACCCCGCATGTTCCAGAGCCTGCTTTGTTACAGCGTTAAGCTCGACATGTCTTGACCATCTGCCTCTGCTGCTGGAACACGATAGGCCGTGGTGACCAGAAAGTGTTGAAATTCTTGCGCGTTTCCTTTTTATTGGTCATTTGGTCTGGGCCATTTATTTTTATTGGTCATTCGGTCCCGGACCGAATATAACAAAATTTTGAAGTCCATTGTACTCTGTAGCATAGTTTTACAAATTCTGGATTTTGTAGCCGTGCAACAAGTCCCTACACGTTTTGCACAGCCACAGAAACAATGCGTAATTCGCCACCACAACAAGCGTCATTGTAAACCACTTCCGTGTTGCGGTTAGATAGCGCCCGTGGTTTGACGGCAGCTGATTAATAAACTGTAACCAATAATGCACAGTAGCCAGTAACCCTACCATAGCGAGATTTGTTTCGAATCTGAGACCCACGATAATTAGCATTAATTAACTAATTAATTAATTAGCACTAGCAGACCCCGCGCAAATTGCGCGGAATGAATAATGCGATAGTACACCAAAAGGCAAAATCCCATTATTGCGTTACTGTCAATTTCGGACACCCTATGATGTCCGTAATGTTCTCCTGCTTGTTTTACTGTTACTATTTTTCTGCCAACGTGTTTACTGTTTACTTACTGTTACTTCCGGTTTTAAAAAGTTACTTAATAACTACGTACTAAGTCATAATTTTGTCTCCGGAACCAGCTCTCCGGAGTTCCGGCATAAATTTGGCGAATTTTGTTTTAAATCATAGTTGTAACGTGGGGCCTTATGGGCGCCCACGTACCTTCGACGGCGAAACAGCGGCGAACCCGGATTGAGGCTTTAATGGCGAAATCTAAGGTGCGCACCGTGGCGCAGCAAACACCGACTAATGAGATCGGATCCTACAGCCAGCGCAGCTGTGCTGTAGGTCCGTCAAAACAGCAGCAATGTGTGGGATGGAAATCCCCAGAACAGCAAAACACAATGGCGAATGGCCAATCATGAAGGCGGAGCTATCGGCCTTCACATAGTAAAATTTGCAGTAACAGAACTTTACCTACTGGATACTATCAGCACAAAAACCTTGTTACTTATTATTACAAACCACAGACCGAAACTGTTACTTTTACTAACTTTTTAATATTAGTCGACTGGTGTTTACGCAGTAGGATACTCACTCGTCAGTAGACATTCCTACTCTGTTCAGTAAAGCACCACTGATTGAAAATCCAGATTTTTCATTAATGTACCGGAAAAGCTGCCTTTCACATTGACTGCCGCGATGACCTTAAACTTGCAAATGTTGCTCCAGATCGGTCACCAGTCAGTTAAGCTTCGTGGAGTGGCTGCACGGGTGCTCTCTATTTGATGCTTACGGTATATAGGTACCTGCTCTGATATAGACTATTCATTTTATTGAAATTTTCTAAACCCAGCAACCGTTTCGCAAAATGTCATTTGCATCTTTGCTGCTTCGCGAGCTCCGCTCGCGCCGCAGCTCGGCGTCGCCTGCGGCTCCGCCTTCCATGGCGAACTGATGGAATCATTGCAAGTTTCGCAAAAGTCTCTCGTTCTCAATAACGAAGCGTTCCACGTTGGTTAACTGCAAGTTAACGCCTAAGGACCGCTAAGCAATCGCTCGAACGAAAAAATTTTGCTATATATACGTACAGATAAGTAGCATCTGATGATCATAAAATTCGTAATACACATTTACTATATTTAAGTGCGGAGGTAACAAACAACCCAAGATCATGTAAGATGTGCAGCTGACAGCATGCTGTCCTTTAATCAACCCTACTGATTACACATGCAATGCCGCCTTTATCGGATATCGATTTTCACAGAATATAGGTACAGTAAATCAAAAGTAAATTTTTTGGACTTACAGCGGCAAATTAGTAAAAATTGCAACCGCCCAGGAAAGCGCTGTAACGTTAAACTGGTCAAACCACTGCGAACGACAGTTCCTTGGGAAATAATTTTGTGCAATTGAACTGTAGTTCCGTACTCGAAGACTGTGTTACGTCTTCGTTTTCAAATCCTCTTTTATTCTTGAAGCCAAATATGAAATATTGATCAGATAATTTATAAATTCATTAAAAGCTAAGGAATAATACGCGATCACGATTCAAGAACATAAAAGTTTTCCCCAGTCCTAGCCACGTTGGTCAACGCGTTATGGCTGCCTAGACAGTGGTGAGATGGTCGGGTTTGCAGTGGTGGATTCTTGACTTTTCCCATAGTCTTTCTATGTTATGGTTTTTCAAAGTTTTCTTTCAAACGTTTATGTTTTTCAAAAATTTGACTTTTGCTGGCAAATATATTCGTTAAGATCTATCGAACGACATATAGACATCGGAGTTTGGTCGAGCGTAGCGTTAACGCATCGATGACACACACGGAATTTCGTTAAGGCTTATCCTTTTACTAGCAGACCCCGCGCAAATTGCGCGGAGTAAATAATGCAATGGACAAATCAGAACTCAGCTCAAAAATAAAATCATAACTGCAGGTATGTAAATATATCGTATCATCGTATGTGAACTCGTAACTGCAGGTTTTATGAACGAAGCGTAGGATTCTATAATACACAAAATACACAATAATGTCCCTGCACACTGCACAGTTGATGTCCTTTGATGATAATAGCTACTGGAAAATTTGCCTGACCACTTAGTTGACTGTAGAATGGCTTAAAACCTAAAATGCGAAATTCTTAAAGTTATTTTTTTCCCAAAAACGGGTGCATTTTTTTGTTTCCGATCTATTAATTTCCAAATCAGTCGCCATCAGTGAATTTCGTGCAGCTGCTACATAGAGACCCTGTAACTTTTTAAAACTTGCTCTCCCCTCTTTTTCTTTCCATTCTGAGCTTTTTCAACGTATCCGATAACAGTTTACTGAACTGCTTTATACAATTTTACATCCCAGTTTGACCGCTAATGCACCACTGCTGCTGCCCTTTAGCAATCGGTACAGAGGGTTATTCAGCCAAGTGTGGTCAGCGCATTAAAAAAATTCCTATAATTCAGCCGTTGCGCAGAGTCAGATTCTAATAATTGTTTTATTATGGCAAATTAGTTTTGATGCTTTTTGCAAGTTTTTGTGACAATCGGGTTTAAACAGCCCGCAATATTGGCTACTGACCTAAAGACTCCGACTCTAAACCTTTGACCAGGCAAAATTTGGCTTTCGATGATCTGGCCTTAAAAGGATCGTCTGCTTTTCAAATCTGGATGGTTTTAATTGTGAAAA